TTTTCAAACACCTGCTATATAAATTGTGTCTGCATAGTAAAAATAATTTATTGAAATTGGGACAATAACAAAATTGAAATAAGTGATCAGAAACAGAATTTTTTAAATTTCCTGAAATAGTTTCATTAGTTGTTAAATTAGAGAAAATATTATCAATGATTTTAGTATAGTGATCAACAATTCTCGTCGGCAAAGTAATAAAATAACGAATATAATAAAAAGAAAGTAAAGTTAAAAAATCAAACGTCACAAAATCATTATTTGATTGTATCAGATTAACATTATAATCACCAAGTAAGAAAACAGATTTATTTTCAGCAGGTATTTTTTGAAGTAGGAAAGACATGATATAATTAAAAACATTGATATCCATGCAATAAATGCAACCAACAATAATATATGACTTTTTAGAAAAAAAATCGAAAAATCGAAAAAGAATCTAAAGTTAAAAGCATCTAAAGATGATTTATTTATTTGATTAGAAACTTTATTTAAATGATAAGACAGGAAATGTTTGTAGACAAAGTAACTTGTCAGTTTTAAGAATTCTATTAGAAGAAAGTAACCATTTAAATTCGTTATCTGTTGTTATTTATATTCGTTATGTGTCTCCCTCAACTATTTTCTCAACCTAGTATGTGGTTCTCTCAACTAGTTATAAATTTTTAGAAGACAAAACTGTAAAGCATTATTTTCAAAAAACTTAGCTTTTAATAAATATAGAGAAAAATCTTATTATTTTTTCAAAACTAATCGAAGATTACATGCATTGCCAAAGTAAGTTCGAATTTCATCCTCGGATTCTCCATAATACTGCAAGACTGTAAAACAAAAAACGCGTCGATGGCCAATGAATTTTATTGCTAATGATTTATGTTGCCAAGGGTTTATGCTGCCACTGGTTTATTTTGCCAATGGTTTATGTGGCCAATGTTCAATGTTGGCAATGTTATATTGTTAAATGGCTATTAAACAATTTACACTTAATAGCTTGTTTCTTTTTATATAAACAAAAACATTAAACATTGGAAAACAAAAACATTCTACAACACTTATAATACAAGTTTTCTTAAAATTGAAAATAACAAAGAAAAGTAAAACCATTTAAAAAAACGTAAAAAATCTTGGTTTGATTGAAAAATGTAATCCAAAACGCACTTGGTAAGTTTTGAGAGAAATCGTTGATAAAACTAAAACTAAATCATCATTAGTTTTAACACCATAATCTAATGATATTTTAAAACATTATAATTTTTTGTATAAAGTTCAAGCAAAATAGAATTGGTTAAATTAAACTAATCATTTTATCAAAAGCAAAAAATATTTCATATATAAAAACTTTCTTTCAATTTGTTCAAAAAACAACAAATCGAAGTATCGAAGTATCTTTTCACAAATCCGATGTTGCTTTAAAGTTATTTGAAATTATTGATGTTTAATTAAAAGTCGTACATTTATAAAAATTTATTGAAAATTCTCCATACAATCATTTTATCTTTTGTTAAAATGGGAAATTTCTCTGATCAATTCAAAATAGCTATAGCTGCACCTATATTTAAAGTAAAATGTAATAATTATTGATTCATAACAATTTGTTATTTAGCAGTCAAAATATATTTAAAAAGCATAAATTAACCAAGCATGCAGTTCTTTACTTTAAATGTAGAATGATTTATCAAAATCTGTTGATCATTGGTTATAAATTCTTATAAAAAAGATGAAGGCAAAGATAATCTATGGAATTGTTTTAAATTAGATTACCATTTTTTTAACTCTGCTTATTTTGTGCAAATTTTTTTTTTTTTTTAATCTTAATTTTTATTGCCTCCCTAGTGCGCATTAGACGTTCTAAGACGTCCGACGGACTTCGAGTGGACGACCCGATGTTTATAGGACGTCTAGACGGCTGGATATCCACTAGATGTCTTAGGATAAGTGTCATAGGACGTCCAATGCTCACTGGGTCAATATATGAATAAATCCCTACATTTAAACAACTTATATAAACAACTTACATAAACAAGCATTCTTTGATTGCGTTTATTCCAGCAGTCTTTTGATTGCAGCAGTTGTTTGTGGTTTGTCACATACAACAATTGGGTGCAACAGCCACTGGCAAACCACGTACAACGTTTGCAATTTAAAATTTTATATTTTATTTTCTCACTCTTTTCTCTAATTTTTCAACAACTTTTACATTTGTGGTTGTTTTTTGTACTCATTCTTTTAGACATGCTACACCTTTTTAGAAACCAACACGTTTATACTTTGCTGTCTGATTATTTTACCCCCATTTCAGATTTAACATTTATTTGTACAATCGATAGGGTTAAATTTTCTTTTAAAAATTTTTTAATTACATAGTTCAAATATTTATAAATAACAAGTAGTTGCAATGAAAATTTTACTAAACTTATAAAAACACATTCGTTACATATTATTAAATGTATTGCATCTAAACTTAGTTTCTTTGATGTCATCGCTTAAATAAAGTTTGGTTACTATTTAAATTAATATGAGCTTTTATTTTTTAGTAAAATTTTGCATCATTTATAGATAATTTCTATTATTCACAGAAAAAACAAGCTTTAAATTAATTTGCTTTATATTCTATAACTATTATATTAATTATAAATACATGATGGCAACACTGGTGCGTATAATTAATAAGGATCAAATTTGCTTTCAAGCCATTTTATATAAAAAAAAGTAGCTAAACGTAATTAAACAGCTTAATAAAATAATTTTATTTATGATTTGTTTGACCCCCGTGAACTTATTAATGCTATTTACTACTTAATAATAGTATTAATGGCGTAGTTTTGACCTACCCTAAGGGGCGCACAGTGCCATAGAAATTTTAAAAAGTGGCTAAAAAAATATTTAATAATTAGCTTAAAAATTTTTAAATCTATTTCTTAAAAGTTTTGATAAAAATTTTGTTTTAAAAGTTATTTTGCACTTATTTAACTCTTTTTTGTTAAAACTTTTTTTAAATAAGAAGCAAATTTTGCGGACAATTGATCTTAACTTTTGTGTCAACACTTCATTAATAGTATAGAAAAAATATAAATGCAAAATTTAAGCTTCACCCATTTGCATCTTACTGATGTTCAAAAGTATGTCAAGGATGTTAAGGTAGTTTTGCCTAAATTTTTATTTATTTCAAATCAAATCAACGATCTAATTAAAAACATCAAGATTTTGTATTGCATTTGTTAAGAAGTTAATATGTCTTTTTACGTTCTGATTAAATACATCAAGATTTTGTATTGCGTTGCGTTGGAGTATGTCTTTTGTATTGCATTGCGTTGGGTTATGTCTTTTAAATTAACTATTTAATCAAAACTATTTACTTTCAAATATTCAAGTATTCTTTACCCTAAATAAATTATATATTAAATATAAGTATTACATTCTTTACCCTATTAAATATAAGTTGAGTTAAAAATAAAAAGTAAGCAGAAGTAAACAAAATAATTCGTTGTCTATAAATATTCATGAGTAGAATGTAACATCTGTTATGTATGTGGTGTATCGAAATAATAACATAATTTATCGATAAATAACATAATTTATCGATAAATAACATAATTTATCGAAGCCAACGAACCACATATCGATGGCTTCGATATGTGGTTCGTTGGCTTCGATATGTGATTCATTGGCTTCAATATGTGATTCAATGGCAATCAAAAATGATACCAACTAAGTAATAATACTATATTTAAAGAGCTAAATTTATATGAAGTATTTCTTTCGTCTTGTATTTTACAATCGTATTTTATACTTCTTTATCTACTTGGCACACGGTGACCGAATACCAAGATCTAAAAAGGACAGATTTAAATCTATATAAAACATCGTAAGTAATCTAGTATCTTTACTCATTGAGTAACTGAGTGTGAAGAAAAATGATAATCGGAAGTAATTGAGTTAAAAATATAGTGTAGAGAAAAGCAAACAGATTGGCCATTAAAATAAATTCAAGAACTAAAAAAATTTCATCGTTTTTTCGGAGCATGAAGCTATTTAAATTATCTTCAAACCAACTGTTTTAGAAATAAATAAGTACTTCTCGTATATAATACCTCTCAATGTACATAATCTCTCAAAGTATGGGAATCTGATTGCAGAAACATTGGAGCTGCCCAAGAAGTTTTAAAAAAAGAAATCCACAAAGCTAGCTTAAGTCACAGTGCAAAAAATTCAAGAGTTAATATGATAAAAAATGAAAACTGAATATATATATATATATATATATATATATATATATATATATATATATATATATATATATATATATATATATATATATATATATATATATATATATATATATATATATATATATATATATAAATTTTTTGCCAGTAAACTAATGTCTTCATTTTGAAAATAAGTTTGCATTTACAAAAAGTTTGGTGAAGTAAGAATAGCTTATATTAAAAAAATTATTCTTACTTTAAAATTTCGTGTTATTATTATGTAATACTGAATATTAGTAATATCGATTTTTTTTTTTCTTTAAACTTTATATTTTTATTTTTATATTTATAAAGAACTTTTTAACCTCCCTTTAAGTTCAGTATTTTAACCTCTAATCCCTTTAATTAATATTTGGTCCGGTTATTCTTTTGAACAACGTACTAGAATTCAACATACTAAATAAAAGTAATAAAAAAACTTTTTTTATTAGTTATAATTATTTCTCGTCGTTAGTTGTATTTTGATCAATTTTTTCTTTAAAAAAAGGCGTACCATCCAGGCAAGACATTTTTGAATTTTGATTCGAAATCCTTATTTAGTTCTGGGCAAATTTTAAGGTTAAAGTCAAGGCGGACCCCACAAAGCGAACCCCACAAGACATCTTTGTCAAAATTTGTGAGATCTTGGGCTTATACTATCTTTTTTAGGTAAGTTTTTAGTTACGTAAACTTTGTTTAACCCTATTGTGTTTTTATCGTCCTGAAATTTCTATAATAAAAAGAATGGAAAAATAATAATATATTAATTTTCTTTCAATTTAAAACGACTATATTCTCTTCTGTACCCGTTACGCAAAGTGTTCTGAACCATATAACAAATCTATAAAAAATTATTTGTCTGTTTTTTTTACTGTTTTACTGATGTTATATATTACTTTTCGATTATAACACTTTTGTTTTTCGTTGGTTTTTTCTTTTCGTTGATTTTTCATCAAAAAAATATTGATGTCTTTGAACCTGAGTATATCTTTATTCTTTTGCTAAAATGAAGATAGATTTATTGGTCGCTGTTAAAACAACAATAGATGTTTTTGTAATTGGGTGTTATTAAAATGACAAAAGATGTATCTAATTGGTTGCTGTTAAGTCACCTTTTTCTTTTATCTTTCTTTCTCTATAAATATAGGATTTTGGAATTTCTTAAAAATAGTTTAAAAGTATTTGTTTTTTACTTGCTGTCAACTTTTTAGAAAATATTTTCGTCAGAAATAGTTTCGTCAGTGATCTTTCGCTTCAATTTTCACAAAGCAGTTGATACTAATTTCATTCCCATTATTGGTGGTTACTCTTTATTCGTCTCTTCAATAATTATTTTGACAAACTCTTAAAAAAAAATGAGTAAAATTAAAAAATGCAAAAGTTTTTTTATATATAAAATACTTAGATTATAATACCTTCATAATCGATGAATCCGTCATTGTTTGTGTCAAATATTTCCATTAACTCGTCAATTTCTTCTAAAATGCTGTTGTACCCATATTCCATAAATGCATCGCGAAGTTCCTTCGTACTGACTTTTCCGTCACCATCCATATCAAAAGCACCGAATGCCTGTAAAATTTATTAAAATTTTACAACAAATATAAAAATTCAAAATTTATCTAAACATTTAAGTAATTTCTGAATATATACCTTAAATCTTACCATGTATTTTTGTTTGAGCTTTACACCGTTTTACTTCGTAAAAAAATTTTGGAGAATATGAGTAATAATAACTAATAGAGGTGGTGGTATCGTGGTAAAGCGCTCGCCTCATAAGCAAGAAGTTCCTTGGTAGTACCGCGCTCAACTTGTTTTTTAACGGCGCTTAACTTGTTATTTAAAGACAATATATATATATATATATATATATATATATATATATATATATATATATATATATATATATATATATATATATATATATATATATATATATATATATATATATATATATATATATATATATATATATATATATATATATATATATATATATATATATTTAAAGACAAAAGTATGGTTTTAAACTTAAAGACAAAATTAATGGTTGCAAATTTATTAAAATGTAAAAATTATTTAAAGTATAATATATTATAGATAAAAATGTTTTGCGTTCATATATTTACAAATTTTTGTCTTTGTTGAATTAGATGCTAATATTATTTTCTTTTGAAAGTTCTTTTAACTACTATTGTTAAAATAATTATTTGAATTATTAAAACTTGCCCCTCAACCTCTCACTTAAACCTTGCCCCTCAACTTCTCACTTAAACCTTACCCCTCAACCTCTCACTTAAACCTTGCCCCTCAACCTACCTCTCACTTAAACCTTGCCCCTCAACCTATCTCTCACTTTAACCTTGCCCCTCAACCTCTCACTTAAACTTTATCCTTCTAGCAGCTTAAATCAAAAGAATTTTCTTTATATAAAATATAAATTTTTCTTTTTTACAATGATCTTTATAAAATAAAGAGTTAAACAGACTTCAATTGATGATTTAAACTTTTTCCTTTCATAATTAATTCATGAGAACTTTTAGAACCAGATCTTACATGGTGGGAAATAATTTAGCGACTAGCTAGCTTTATAGCGATTTTCAAGCGATTTTTCAAGCTTTATAGCAATTTTCAAGCGATTTTTTTTTTCTAAATTTATTTTTTCCTAATGTCTATAACATCTTTTAAAGTTCGATTTTTAGTGGTAAGGCTATTATAATTATGACAAAAAATGAACTTTAAATATTGCAATTTTGTCGCTAGCTACATATCGTAGCTTTGTAGCTAGCTACAAAATATCAACTAATCTATAGCTGGTTGATAGCTATACATCAAAATTATTTAGACAGCGATTTTATTACAATATGATGCTAGCTACAATAGCCAGTAGTACTTTAGCTTATTAAGCTAGCAGTCCTCGTTGCTGTCGCTCTTATGCTTTACCCCGCAACTTAGTCTTAAGCTAGCTGTCCTCGTAGCCAAATCGCTGTCTTTATCTTTACAAATATCGATAGCTTTTCGTTAACTTAAAACAGTAAGCGATCGTTGTGGCCAAATTGCTGTCTTTATTGTTACGATTATAGCTAGCTGTTCGCTAGCCGATTTCCCACCGGGTACCTAACTTCAAGATTCAGCAAAAAACAAATGAATTGAATTGAGTTACTACTACATACTAATATTATATATAAATTTTTTCAATTCTTAGCTTTTGTTTCTTTACCTTTCTTTCCTCTTATTCCTCTAGTTATAATTTTAATTTTGAGAACTGAAAACTTTGCAATATTTTCTTTCTGCATCTTTACTTGGTCAGTTGTTTTTTGTTTTTGTTTTTTTAATGTTATGTTAAAAAATAGACACTTTTCAGAAGTAATATCAAAAAAATTAATTGTTTGAAGCCTTAAACAAGTAAATCATTTTTTAATTTAAAGATAAAAGTATGGTTGTTGATTTAAAGACAAAAGTAATGGTTGCAAATTTATTAAACTGTAAAATTTATTTAAAGTATAATATATTATAGATAAAACTAATATCAAAAAAATCATTCATTGATTGTTTGAAGCCTAAAATAAGTAAATCATTTTTTAAAGCATTTAGATTTTTTGTATCATGTGGCATAAGAATACTATTAACCATTTTTCCTGCTTGCAAGAATTATTAGCTTTATCCTAATTTTATTGCTAATTTTAAAGTTTAATTTTAAAAAACGGTTTTTATTACTTTTATTGGCTTTTACTACTTACTTTTAGTACTTTTCAAACTTTAAAAAGGTGGTTACGCCAATGTTGAAAAAGTCTTTAAAAAAATCTAAACTTAAAAAATTTACGCACATCTGTATAACAACATCTGTAGTATTAGATAGGCATCTCGAGTATTTGATTAGCATTTCGAGTATTAGATTTGCATCTCGAGTATTAGATAGACATCACGAGTACTTGATTAAAATTTCGAGTATTAGGCAAAGAACTGGTATTAACACTATTACCACTTGGTTACATAACTTTTTTGTATTTCTATGTAACAAACTTTGCTAAGTGTACTGCTTTATTTTTTTTTCTTATGTAAAAAAGATCCTACTGTTAACTAATTTAAATTTTGATAAGACTAGTTGCAAAATTGAGCAGCCGCGGCGCAGTGGCTCAGAAACAAAGGATCCGTGGTTCAAACCCCACCTCTGGGCAAGTTTAGCGACATCGGTTGGGAAGGAAGCGTGAACTTCCTATTAAGTGCTCCTCTGCGGTGCTCTGTGATAAGACCGTAAGGACTTTTTAGAGCACCTAAAATAAAAGAAAAAAAAAAAAAAAATGCTAAAACGTAAAACATGTCAAATTAATTTTTTTTTTTTTGAACTTTTTTAAATTTGAAAATGAATATAATTACAAACTCAAAATATCTCTGATATTAATGTTTTAAAGAAAAAGTAAAAAAATTTAAAATGTTTTAAAGACACAAATATAAAGAAATGTGTGTTAGATTATTGTTGTAAGTTTTCTAACAAAATAAAGTAATTTTATATGGGTTTTTTTTTAAACAAAGTAATAAATACATACAAAAAAAGATATTTAGGTTAAAGATTCGTTTAAAGTTGAGCATATGATAAGTGTTGATGAGTTCATCATATTAACTGTATGAGTTCATCATTTTAAGCATCTTTTTCGAGAGAAAAAGTTTTTTTTTTTTTTTTTTTTTAGGTAACCAATGCATTGCACAACTAAGTTTTTTTATATTATTGTGTATTTCTTATATTTTACTTATTGCGATATAAAGAAGTTACGTTAAAATGTAAGTTATTAAATATATTTAAAAGTAAGTTATTCTTAAAAAATACAAGCTACTACATCTTAAATGTAATAGATTGAGGTAATTTTAAAAATGCGAATTTTTTATTTGTAAAATTAATTTATTTTTATAAACATAGTAATAGTAAACAAAAAAAAAGTTACTTGCAAATGTAATTTTCTTTTCAAAGTAAGTCATAAAAAAGTAGTTTAGATCTTATTTTATATAACTTTTTTTTTTTTATATTATTATGTATTTCTTATATTTTAAATAGCTCAGACAACCATCAGATTTAAAATAATAATAAGTTGTTAACATCATATTTAATACAATAATTAGCAAAATTGACTCTGAAAATTAATAGTGATACTGTGAACACCCTTAATATTGCATATATTATTGTTTATTAATAAACAAACCTCTTTTAAATCAGCTGCGTCATCACGGTTTTTTCTGATTTCCATTTGCTCTATAAACTCGTTGAACTCGATTGTTCCATTTTTATTTGCGTCCATCTAAAAGTTACGTATATGAATATATGTATACATAAAATATGTAATATATATATATATATATATATATGTATATATATATATATATATATATATATATACATATATATATATATATATATATATATATATATATATATATATATATATATATATATATATATATATATATATATATATATATATATATATATATATATATATATATATATATATATATATATATATATATATATATATATATATATATATATATATATATATATATATATATATATATATATATTAGGGTGGAGCGATTTTCATAGCAAAAAAAGTTTAGAAATCAGTATTCCTGAGACACCAATCGATGTCTATTAATTATAAGATGAGAGTAAAAAAATATTTTCTGACTTTGATCTTGAGGTTCCTCTTTGGATTCTAAATTCTTGACGGATTCTAATAATTTTGAATTTTTTTTCTTTTTAAGCCATATTAACCTTGGACTCAAAAAAAGCAGGAAAAAAATGCTTGTTTTACTAACAATAAATTTATTTAAAAAAATTTAAGTAAAACAAATATTTGCGAAAATTCACCCTTAAACCCCCGTTTTGATAAAGACGGGGGGTTTTTTATTAAAAAAACGACATTATTTTTTTTTTTTTCAGTTTTAAAATAAAACAAATATTATTTTCAAAATCTGCATATTATTCTGCTTCTTTTGAGTACCAGATTGATATAGTTTAGAAGAAAAAAAATTTTAACAATATTAGGATCGTCATAAATTTAGAATCCAAAGAGAAACCTCAAAAACTCATCTAAATTTAAAAAAAAAAAGTAAGGTTCTTTTTTCATCAAAAGACATCGATTCGCAGCTCAGGCAAATCAAATTTCGAAAATTTTTAAAATCGCTGTACCCTAATATATATATATATATATATATATATATATATATATATATATATATATATATATATATATATATATATATATATATATATATATATATATATATATATATATATATATATGTATATATATATATATATATATATATATATATATATATATATATATATGTAAATATTATATATATATATATATATATATATATATATATATATATATATATATATATATATATATATATATATATATATATATATATATATATATATATATATATATATATATATATAATATATATAATAAAAAAGAACAAATTTTATTAAAGGATATTTAAGTGGTAGGGTAGTGAATAATGTTTTTAAAAATATAATCGTTTTTTTGATTGTTTTAAGAAATATATTGCCCTTAATTATTTTTGTAACTTTCTAATTGCTAATTTAAAATAAGATTTGTTCGAAAAACGAAGAGTTATAAATTAAAGCGAGAGGCAATTGTTGTTTTTGCCATTTCTGTAATTGAAACCATTTTCTGAAGTCTCTGAAATTATCTTCACGTATAGTTCTACTGCTGGAATAAAATATGGGAGCGTTTTAAAGTTCTACTACGCCGCTGTTTTTTCCTTATTGGACCTCCAATCAACTTTCTTTATCAAAGACTACTCAAAGCATAAGTGCTGATAAAACCCAAGTAGTGTTCCGATAACTTATCTGGGAGTGGGTAGCAAGGAAACTAATGTTGAGTGGTTAAAAGTTGATAAAATTTCTTTGAGGAACCTTGATATTATTTTTAAGAAATATTTTTCAAAACTCGAAGTCAATACATTTTTAGTTTTTTTTTCTTATAAAAAAATAATATATTTTAAACTTGGTTTAACAAAATTATGACCTCAGATTAAATTAGGGATGGCAATTTTACTTATTGCGATATAAAGAAGTTACGTTAAAATGTAAGTTATTAAATATATTTAAAAGTAAGTTATTCTTAAAAAATACAAGCTACTACATCTTAAATGTAATAGATTGAGGTAATTTTAAAAATGCGAATTTTTTATTTGTAAAATTAATTTATTTTTATAAACATAGTAATAGTAAACAAAAAAATAGTTACTTGCAAATGTAATTTTCTTTTCAAAGTAAGTCATAAAAAAGTAGTTTAGATCTTATTTTATATAACTTTTTTTTTTTTTTTTTAAACATTTTTATTAGTGTTTTATTTAAATTATTAAGTATTTGGTCCTTGGTGGATAACTTCATACTACACCACACTTGTTCAACAGTTTTTTGCATGCACTTATGTAACAGTCACCTGTGATTATAATAGATTCTTTTACATAGATTGCATTCCCTTCACTAATACCTATTAATATTTTTTTAGCATATATAACCAAATAAATTTATTATCGATGACACGTTAAACCATGTCTTGGTTATCATAATTATGTCCGGATTATCCACCTGTACTTGCTGTTTTCAACACCGTAGCCTGGTATTCTGTGCTCTCTAATTCAACAATCATTGGAGTTTATTCACTGATTTTAACCTGTGAATTTTTGTGAACTTGCTATTATTAAGGTTCAAACAGTCAAATACTCTTTTTATTTCCTTATTATTCTTTTATTTCATGTCGCCATTTTTTTTGGTCTATTTCTATTGTTTTGGTTGATTCAAGAACCCCAAATACAATCACATTTCTTTCTTTTTTTGCTTTGTTCTGTGTCTCTTTACTAACTGCATTTAAAATGTTGGCTTCATATACATTGAAGGATTGAGCTGCATCTGATGCAACCACACTGTAAATAACTTTTTACTTGTTGTAGATGTTTGAACAAGGTTGGTTTCAAGTTTGTCTAGTCTATTAACCAGTTTAGCATTTTTTAATTCTAAGTTTCATGTTGTCCTGAGACAAAACCGCTAACTGTGTTTTCATCTCCTTAAGTGCCTCTGTCATCTAAGATTTAAAATCATCAACATTTTTTTTAATTCTAGATTTCTAACCATGTTGATCCTCGATAGAAGGGCTACCACCCTTAATAACAGTGGATTACCTCCTGTCTGTGAAATATATATATATATATATATATATATATATATATATATATATATATATATATATATATATATATATATATATATATATATATATATATATATATATATATTGTTATTAGTATTAGTTGTAACCTTATTTAACGTTATATGTATTCATATAACAAAGAAAGATAGATCTTTTACAAAAATTGTTCCTTTAGGTTGGAAGGTTTTAAAAGAAAAGAAGTAAAGATTCAGAACATTCTGTAAGCTGTTAAACAGTTGTTCAAATCTTTTATTACATTGCATAAGATTCTAAGTGCCCTCCCCCCCCCCCATCCCTCTTCATTATAGTAACAAGTTCAGTATGAGTCGTCAAACCCCTCTCCCCCTGAACCGTGACGTAATTCATGGACGACCCCTAATCTCTATTAAAATGTTAGACGTTTCCGGTATTAGAAGCCATTTGTCGAAGAAAATGTAATTAACACAGCCGTTACCGACAGTGATTAACATGAAGATCACTATAAAATGAATACCGATTCGAACAAATGATATTGGTTACCTTAATATTAACTTTTTACGAAGTTTGTTAAATAATCATACCAACAATGATTATTCCGGTTTATGATTTTAAAAAAATGCAACCTAGATGACGTATGTTTTTGCCATTATCTAGATTAAGTACATCAAAAAAATTATTTTGTTTTTTTAAACATTTAAATCTCTGGATTGAAGATTAGCAATTGTTAACATTTAAACCTCTGTTTTAAGTAAAGAAATTTAAATCCAACAAAGAACTACAAAAACAAGTTCTATTCCGTTGATTAAAAATGGTACATTTTATAATCTTATTATAATGGGTGTAAAAAGTATTAGAACTTTTTTTTTTGTGTGTGTGTGTGTCATTTCATTTAATAAAATCATCTTATTAAAGTATTTTTTGCTTGAGAAAAAAAAAAAAAAAAATTTAGTACTAGACTTATATTCATCCATAAATTTTAAGTTTCATAGTATAATCTCTCAGCGTTCAAAAATTATGACTATATTAAATTAGTAATTAGCCCCCTCAAATTGAGGGGAACCAAACTTTATATGTTCATAATTTTTGAACGCTAAAATATTATGCCATGAAATTTAAAAAAATATATTTTATCAACTTATTGCTCTCACGTTTGAGACAGGAGGGAGGAAAATTTTGGGCTTTTTTGTTACTAGACTCAAACCATTGAAATTTTTTGCAAAACATCCTTATTTGACATAAGTATAAACATATAAATATTGGAGTTTGTTCCATGTCTGGAAGTTAGCTATTCTAAAAAGCCCCTGAAAAGACCTAATTAATATGAAATAAAAGATGATAAACTAATCAAATGGTTCTGAATAATTATACTTGCTTAACACAGAATAACCAAGTAACTATAATTGAGTGAATTAATTCTTAACGCTTAAGTTTGTTATTTATAATATATAAGTGTTAGATGATCATAAAGTAATTTATATGTTAGATGATCATAAAGTAATTTAGACGAATCTTTACTAAATACTTGCTTGAAAAATGAAACGATTGTATAGTGATGTCTTTGTAAAACGATTGTAAAGTGATGTCTTTCTGAAACAGTTGTATAGTGATGTCTTTGTAAAATGATTGTATAGTGATGTCTTTGTAAAACGATTGTATAGTTTTTTCTTTGTAAAACGAAAATATTTTGTATAGTATTTATTTTTTGTAACTATTACCAAAATATATATTTTGGTAATTTTACAACAACATTCATATTTTAATAATATAAGATAATGTATTCTGTTTACCTTATAGATTAAAAAAACAGATAAAAAAAACCAAGTTTTTCTAAAGGGATGATGACGTTTTTGACGTCATGATTGCTATAGAAAAATTTGGTTTTGAGGGTTTCTATTATGACATGGATTAGTTACAGAACAAAAGGTACTACTGGTACCAAATAACAAAAGTTTTGAAAACGCACAGTGTGACAAAATCGAGTTTTTTGTGACAAAATTATTTTCGTAGTTTTTTTTTTCATTAAAATAGCTGTATTTATATATAAAATTCATAAATAAAGTAATAAACATGTAATTATATAATATTAAAAAAATAATTAAAAAAATTAAATTTAAGTGAAAAATACGAAATATTTTTAATGGACAAGACAACTTTTATCAGTGTAAACATCAAAAATAATACTTTTCAAAACATTTATTTGTCATAAAATAACTTTTTTATATTTATATTTACAGAACTTATATATTATAACAGTAATGAAAGATTTTGTAGATATTCTTTGAGTACGAAACATCTTTTTTGCATGTTCAGTATTTCTTATCAACTGACCATTAACCGAAGACCAATGTTTTGTTATAACTTTTTTATTGCAAAATTTTGCAAAATATTTATGATGCATGACTATTTACATACATTTAGCATGAAATTTTCATAATCAAATGTTTGGAGGTTGGTTTATCTGATACCTAATAGTAAAGGTTAATAGCAAAAAAAATATCAAAAACTGTCTGTTTTCGATGCATAAAAACTAATGATTAGACTTACGTTAAATTGTTTTTAAAAGTCTGAGCGAAAAAAGCATTGCTAACTAAAATAAATTTTAAAATGAAAGTCAATAAAGTTAAGTTAAAACAATAATAGCGTTAGAAAGTTGATAAATAAAAAATGCAAAATAGCGTTTTGGAACACATTTCGAATTAACGAGTAAAAAACCGCGCTTAAATTAATTTTTAATGTTTTTTTTAACTAGATATTTCCGCTAATGAACATGTCTTCACCATTATGACAAATTTTCACCGTGCAATGCCGACATTAATTTTTTCGTAATTTGACACACTCTGTCCCACTGTAAAACGTCGCTAAAGATAGTTCTATTAGAAAAATTTTTAAAAATTTTTAAACGTCAAGTGCACGTGGATGATTGAGCTGTTGATATTATTTATAAACTAGAATATAAGAATTATTTCGTGAGAGAAATGGATGTCAAGTTTAGACAAAGTTAGTTTAGACGCGACACAAGGAGCCTAATCAATCACGCCGAAGAGTCAAAAGACTTTTTTTTCTATTTTTATCGGCAAGTGCAGCCGATAAAAATATACAAAAAAAATTTTTTTAGTCAATATTTCTTAAAACAAAGTTGTATGTAAAAAATTTTCTTATAAAATGCAACTTTCTTTTTTAAAAGAAAACTTCATACAATAAAGATTCATAAATGTAAACATTTTTTGTAAGTTTATGATAAGAAATTTTAGGTCATATCAGGAAAATTTCACTTTTGCACAACTTTGTCCGGACATAATTTTTTATCTGGAATGTTTACTTGCATGTTAGTTGTATTTTATGATGCTGAGAGTTAATAAACCAAGTACAAATTAAAAGCAGGTTGAAATGAACTAGCGAAAGAAGGCAAACTAGATTCAAAAAATTTTTAGATATACTTAATAGACAAGTCCAGCTCTTTGAAAATAGAAAGGTTCTGACAAGATAAGAATTGCAGACAAATCTTTTTCAAACAAAATAAAACAGGAACTCCGAAAACAAAAGACTTTATATTTTACATACGTTTTTGAATGTCTTTTCCGCATTCATTAACTCGATAACTCATAAGTTTGATTTATGTTGTTAAAAGTAATAGTTGAAAAAATTCTCTCAGAGGTTATGCTCCTGCATACATCTATTAAAACTCTTTTGTTATTTATTATCAGGCATATCCGACCGGATATACTCTAATATAATCGCCATATTTGTATTGTGCAGAGCCATTCCTATACTTGACAGTTTATTTATGCTATGTTATTTATTTATACTAAATTAAAACAATTTTTTTGAAAATAAGTAAAACAATTGCATCCTTTAAGGAAAATGCAACACTAAATGTATGAACCTTTATCTACGGTTGTCTCGACCATTCTGTCAAGGCATACGTTCTGAAAGCATTTGTACTTTTCTTTTTTAAAAAAAGTTCAAGTAACTTCAGTTTAATAATTTTTTCATGTAATTACAATGAGATTATAATAGTAATACCTCCAACAACAAATGCATCAATTCGTCTTCGGTTGGATTCTCACCCAAGCTTCTCATTAATGGCAATAGTTCCTTGGAGTCAATGTTTCCATCCTTGTTTTTGTCATGATGCGAAAAAGCAAGTTGATATTCTAAAATATATTGGAACATAACTTTTTTATCTACCTAACGTTTATCTACACTTCTAACGCATATTCAAGAAACTTGTTAGAATTGCTAATTTAACTCCATAATAAAGGTTACCTCTAATATCGTCATCTGTAAGAGTGTACCTTTTTCTCATTATTCCTGTCAAGTAAAAAATAATTTTATTTTTACTTTGTGTTGATATTGGGGAAAAAAAAGTAATATTAGTCGGTGGTAAGTAGCTACGTCACTAAGGTTAACTGTAGCTCTCATTTGTTTTAAATATGTTCTGTTTTATTATTAAAAAAAAACTGATTAGCATTAAAAAATATTTTTAAACTAAAGTACCCTAATGAGCTAAACCAGTTTGTTTTAATAATCACTATTGCAAAAAACGTATTAACATCTTAACGGTGCATGATTACGGAGGCTGTCTTCTAAATTATAAAATACTAACTAAGCTTTGTCAAGTTCTTTGGATCTTGTAGTGAATTAGCTGTTTTATTAAATAACGATAAAATTAAAGTTTGATGAACAACATAATGAAAAATTTATTTTAATCTTGTGTTTTGCCGACTCCTGTTGTGAATGTAATGTCATTATCAGTCGGGAATATAACCTGTCACTCATCATTAAAAAAAAATGCTTGGATAAAAGTTTGAACAAAAAAACCTGAATTATTTTTTGTAAACATCAACAAATTGATAAAATAAATTACCTAAAAATAAATAAATGATGTCAAAGTTATGATGATAACTTTTTCTGACAAGTAAAGATTTTTGTCAAAACATTTATTAAATTTAATTGCTTATTTTAAGTTTAACCGTCGCGACTACTTTATAAATACCTTGTATAAATATCAATTTAACTTTAAAATACTAAATATTTTATTTAAACCTTTTACAAAAGTAAAGGAAGTTTCTTTTGTTAAAATAAGTTTTATACATAATAAAAAACGATAAAAAATTTGTAAACAAATTCATTTCAAAGTTGATTATTTATAGTAATTACTTTTAAATAGTATACAAAACATAAGAAACGAACAAAGCGTACGAAAACAAGTAAAGTGATAAAAAATAAGGTGGGAGTAGGTTGCAGTTTATAAAAAAAAAAAAATTTAAAAGTTGTCTATTTAAATTTTTGGACAAAATGTTTTTGATCCAGAAGAAATGAGAGTAGATTTAAAAATTTTTTAAGTTTAAAACTACGTTAGGTAAGTTAATCGACTTCATTGACCAGTAAATTTAAGAGAGTGACGTCTTAACATTTAAGTGACGCCTAAACTCGTTAAAATTTAAAAATTTCAAGATTTTTTTTATATTTTAATTTTTTGTTTTTGTTTTTGTTTTTGCTGTTAACTTTTTTGCATAATTGTCGTGAAATTACAACACACGTATAAATATAAATAAATGTTAACCAGTATTTGAGTCAACGAATAAATTAGTTAAAATAGTTCTAAATAAATATAACCAGTTTATATACAAATAATCCGATTACATATCAATTTACAATTAGAATACAGAAGTATAGAAGAAATTTTATAAAAGAAGTCTAACCTTTTGTTAAAACCAATAATGCCGCGTCTTTCAACAGAAAATAAAGTCAACTTATCCTCTTTCTTATATGCACCATATTTCATTTCATGTCAGTTATTATCAATGGTTAAGAAATAATTTAAATAATAAAAAAAAATGCAAAGAAAATAGTTAAAATAGATTTTTTTTGTTTGTTGATTTTTCGCGGAATAGTACATTTTGTTAGGAAATAAATTGTCAAAATCTAAATTTTTTTTAAAATAAACTATTAATAATAGATTAGTGTTGGCGTAATTGAAAAGCGGGTTTTGATTTAGCATATTTGACCATGGTTTCATCTTGTCGTTTATTGAACTTTTAGTTTTTCATTTTGAGTAAAAAAGTAATAAAAAACATTCTTACAATACATAGTGTGCAATGGCTGCGAGTTTTTAGAAAAACGAGTTTTTCATTTCTGTACAAAGCATGGGCTGCAGGCAGTGGCGTCGCAATATATTTGGTTGCCCGTAGACAAGACCCATCTTTTCGACGATCTTTCTTAAATTTCTTCAACCCTATAATAAAGTTGGTGGCTTTCTATTGTAAACTCGGTAGTCCTCTGGACTATCAATTTTGTCTATCCTATTGCGACATCTATGACTGCGGCAGCTTTTTTGATGTTTAAGATAGGTAGGTTTGAGGTTTTCTCGATGTCTGAGAGTTTTAAACAACAACAAAAACTGTTGCAATCCCTCAAAAAAAGGTTACCATTTTTAACCCTTTTAATTAAAAATATTATTCTTAAACCTGAAAGTATAAAAAAAGTTTATTATTATTATAAAAGGCTTTGTTATAAAATGGTGAATATATTTGTAACATATTTTTTTAATAGAAATACCTTTTTAGGTGTGTTGCAGGAGCGCGACACGTGGTTTTGATAAAGGTTTTAATCTGTAAGAACTGATAAAATTGATCAGTATTAAAGATTAAAACAATTTATAACAAACTAAAGGGCAATATTGCAAAAACATCATCAATATTAAATTCTTTCCAAAATGCGATAAAAAATATAATAATTTTGATAAAAATATAAATAAAAGATAAAAAAAAATATGTAACATTTTATTAATCAGTTTTTGCTTTAAATTACACAAAGATTTATATTTAGTTATTTTTTAAAAAGGATTGGGTTTCAGGAAGTCCTAACTGAAAAAACGCCAAAATTGAATACGTATCTAGTTTACGTAACATGGTAAATCAATTGCATATTTATTTCGGTTGGCATTACAATGCATAAAATATCTCAGTCTTAAAGTATAACTCAGTTTTAAAGAATATTTCATTGTTAAAGAATAAATCACTTCAAAATAATGCATAAATTTGCAGAAATTTGCAGAAAATCTGTTGAAGTTGCAGCATAATGAAGTCAAATTTGCTTAACTAAAACAAAACTAAACAAAATGCAAAAAAACTTTAAATGACTTAATTTTAAACTTATTATGGATAATTATTATTACTTAAGTTTCACCAGAATAGTTTTTTTTCTTCAGTAAAGTATTAGTTAAATGTTTACAAAAAGTTACCTAACAAAAACGTTACCTAAAAAAAGTTACCAAACAAAAACATGACAAAATGTTGTTTTAGCTCATAGTTAAGTTACATGGAACTCGCATGCTCCGCAAGTACATTATCAGTTATAAAAGTATATCACCTACCGTGAACCTTCTGTATCACGATATGAATTATAATATTACCGATATGATAATTTTACAACTTCTGGATAAAGGTAAATGGTAATGTTAAATACATTTTTTGTAATTTGTAATGTATTATAAGGTTGCAGGAATAAAATCGTGTTACAACTGCATCGAGACTGAAGTAACGTCAGTAAAAAAAGGGGGAGGGTGCTGATAAGTCTGAAAATAGTTTAAAATGGGAAGGGGTAGGTGTTGAGACCAAAACGATGTAAAATTTTTTAAACTTTTTATTTCTTTTAAAGTTTACATTTACGCCATCTATGAGTAGATTTAAAAGGTATTTACACCTACAATATGGTGTAAAAATTGTACACTTTCTTTTTGCTTGCAGGAGGAAAGTCATTATTTTGATTGCGTTGTAAGCAATATTAAAAAATCCATTATACAAATACAATTAAATTCAGAAATAATCTTTTTTATTTCTGCAAAATAGCAAATATAAAATATAAAAAATTCTGCAAAATAGCAAAAAATTCTGCAAAATAGCAAAAAATTCCGCAAAATAGCAAATATAAAATAGAAACAATCTTGTTTATTTCTGCAAAATAGCAAAGAACAATTTATGTCGTGGTTTTTACGTCAATTCAGTACATAGAATAAATAAATAATTGAACCAGAAAAAAATTGTTAATATATACGTATTTTTAATTTTGTGTTTTTGGGGAGTTTTGGGGAGAAAAACTGACATCATTTTAATGGGGGAGGATGGGGTGTCGGTAAAATAATGACAAAGAGAAAAGGAGGGAGGGGAGAACAGAAAATCTGTAAAATTATTGACATCATTTATGAACTAATTAAAAAGTTTCAGCAGTATATAAAAAACTCCAATCAAAAGCAAAACTATTGATAAAAAGTTTAAACAACAATAAGTTATATATAATATAATTTATAATTGGAAGAGTTTAGTTCATGCTGAAATTTTTTTAAATGTAAAATGTTTAGTTTTTTCAAATGCCATAGCCTAATCATAAGTAACAGTATTTTTTTTCAAATACTTGAAGTTCATTGATATAAGAAAAAAAGTAAAAAATAAATTTCTGAAAATAAGCTAAGCAACAACCAACAAATAACAAAATACTAGAGTAGCAAATTTTTCATATTTTGCAAGTAGGTAGAGAAAAGCGGGAAGTTAAAGAACACTATCTTATCTAAACATGTAGGTAACACTATGTTATCTATATGTTTAGACATTCAATTCTCGAAAAAATAACATGCTCATAAAAACTACACGCCCAATCATATTTTATGCTTTTTGTGGTGTATGGAGTATACATCACAAAATAACAATAAATTGGTTTCTATTGATTAAACTTTCTTGAAAAAACTTATCTTATTACAAAATGAGCTACTGTTCATATCTTAATCAGCAGTCTTGATGTCAGTATGCCATCAAGATTGCTGATGGCAGTATGCTGATGGCAGTATGCTGATGGCAGTATGCTGATGGCAGTATGCTGATGGCAGTATGCTGATGGCAGTATGCTGATGGCAGTATGCTGATGGCAGTATGCTGATGGCAGTATGCTGATGGCAGTATGCTGAGGGAAGTATGCTGGCGTAACGGAGATTTAAATCGCTACAGAGGTTTACGCGGCAAACTCATCTAAAAATAAAAAATCAAGAACAACATTAACTCAGTTAGCTGGTATATTGCTTTACTTGATATCCTACCAAGGTACAATCATTGCAAGCGCTTTCAATGTGAAATGGAAAACAATTTCCTTGTTCGTTTAAGTTTTTTCAACACCATCAGTGTCAACTGCTTCAAAGCAAAATTCAATCAGCTATCAGCACAAATATCACAGCGCATAATCTTCAGTGCAATTATGCACGAGCTTTTCCTTCTGACTGCTGATGGGCTTACGAAACGCGTCTTTTCCGTGTAATTTGA